TGCGCCCTCCCCCCGCAAAGCGTTCCATTGCAGCAACAAAAACAGCATCAACGCAACAACCAGAAAACAGGAAGAAGCACACGAAAAAGAAGCAAACGAAGAAGAAGAAGACCCCGCAAAGCGTTCCATTGCAGCAACAAAAACAGCATCAACGCAACAACCAGAAAACAGGAAGAAGCACACGAAAAAGAAGCAAACGAAGAAGAAGAAGAAGAAGAAGACGAAGAAGAAGAAAAAGAAGAAGAAGAAGAAGAAGAAGCAGAAGCAGAAGAAGAAGAAGAAGAAGAAAAAAAAGAAGAGGAAGAAGAAGAAGAAAAAGAAGAAGAAGAAGACAAAGACGTTGGGGGGCGCGGGGGGAGGGCACAGCGCCTCCCCTCTCGTTCTAGCGCGTCGGCTGACCCTCTGCAGGCGCGGCGATGCTTCGTGCATGTCTGCCGCTCGATCGTCCGTCCCCCCTTCCTAAGAAGACCCCCGCCTTTTTCGGAAGAAGACCCCCCCCCTTCCTAAGAAGACTCCCCCCCCTTCTACAGAAGACACCCCTCCCCCCTTTAAGAAGATCCCCCCCTCCCCCCTTCTAAAGAAGACCCCCCCCTCCCCCCCCTACAGAAGATCCCCCCTCCCCCCTTCAAAGAGACCCCCCCTCCCCACCTTAAGAAGATCCCCCTCCCCCAAACTCTGGTTCCACTCCCACCGCCCCTTCTAAAGGAAGATCCCCCCCTCCCCCCTTCTAAAGAAGATCCCCCCCCCCCTTAAATACTCCCCCCCCCTTCTTCTTTTTGAGCGGGCGGGGGGGCCTGGGCCACAGGGTTCGGCAAAGACCCCCCCCCACCTTGAAGACCCCCCCCATCCCTACCCTATCGATGCGGTCTGACAATCAAAACGTGATGCTTAACTCGTCCAAGGATGATTGGTCCCTCAAACACAAGTCCCAAACCAGATATGATATCATGACATAGTCATATATAGTATATCATAATACATCATAGAACAATATAGATAAATTATATATATATATGTATATGGAGAGAGGTCAGAGGTACATAGTTGAACATCAAAAACACACAGTTAGTATATATATATATATTTATAGGGAGAGATACATCTCTGCGCGTCAGCCTGCGCCAACAAACAACACACACACACATAGCCCTACACATGCACAGATTTACATAGATTTATGCATGTAACGTATTTTATAGCATTATATTGAAATTCTATACGCAAAATCATATAGAGAGATATAACACTTATATGACCTCACACTTTCAGGTGGTGGTTTGAGCTCCCAACGTACCCCTGCCTGGTGCGACCGCATCCTCTTTCGCCACGAGCCGGCACAAGCGGTGTTTGAAAACGACGACGAGGACGTGGAGCCAACGGTGGAGGTGGTGGAATACGACTCCTATCCACTGAAGTTCACCAGTAGCTGGGCATTTTGTCATGAGTTATGAATAAAAACGAGGGTTTGATCTGGTTGAACTATGAAAACTATTGGGTTATAGTGGGTTTTAATATGTGTTTTTGTGATCTTCTGTGGGTATTTGAGGCAAGAAAGATATGCTGTAATTATTTGTGATTGCTGGCTGAGCCGCAGCTAAGTCAACAAATGGAGAACAAGAATATTGTAAATTCAGTAACAGTTTCATCCGGACCTAAGATAATCAACAGATATCATCTATCAAAAAAGAAATCTTTATACAAAAAACATTTGTTTGGGCCCCCCAAAACATCAGATATCATACATAATATATATATATATAATCGATCCTAATATCATCATTCCATTTTGTTGTGCCCCCAAACTTCAAATCATACCCTTGTGGGATCCTCTAGGCGGGCCGGCCATTGAGGTGACCACCGCCCGGTGGCAGCCACCATTCGGGTGGCGATGCCGCACCTGTCGGAAGTGGACTAACTTGATCTAACTGTGGTGCAATGTGGTGAATAACCATCGGAAAATATAGGAAAAATATGGGAAAACCCATGAACATCCAAGAAAATCCATTATAAATGGAGGCATATATAGATGGTGATTTTGGAGATGGCTTTTAGATGGCTATTGTTGGGTTTATCACATTAGTGGGTGAATAAACTGTAAACAATTACGGCCCATCTGGCTGGTGTTGAATTGCGGGTGCCATTGGTTGGGAATAGAATGAACTCTGCCACACAGGGCACTCTGGCAATCGGAAATGACTCAAGTTTTTGGTGAACATCAACGACTAATAGTGCATATTTTGGCGATTTCCCATTGCCAGGTTAGATTGCCAGAGGATAATGTTCCTCAGCTGACGCGAAAATGATTTTCCAAATGGAAGACCTTTGAACAGCGGCTCGCGCCTTTGATGCACACGCCGGAAAAAAAAGACGCGGTCGACATCCTCAATGGGGTGGACCATGACACAGCGAAATTACAGACAGTTGAAATTCTAGGATTTGACGTCGTGATTCTTTGTTGAATTTTTGGGATTTGACGTTCCATTGAATCACCATTTTCACTGGATTGGTTGAAGGGAAAATCTACAGGAAACCATGGTTTTCCCCATCAAATATAGAGTTTTCGTGCTAAATTGTCCTAACCTGATGTTCTAGTTGGCAAACTGTTGTCTTGAAACTTCATGAAACTTCGCAGCGTGACGCCACAGGCCCGGGCAGTGGCAGAGGAAAGGAAGTGGCGATTGCGCCTGGAACACTTTGAGACCAGCATAGCCAGGCGCGCTCCATGGCGGAGTTTGGAGGTTTCCGAAGTCGTAGCCAAAACTCATCCTTAAAATTGGTGATCAATGATGATCAATGGGTTTTCACCCATGGAATTTCGCCATATTTTTTTTGGAAACCTCCTTAATTGAACATCTACAAACAGGAGAGTTAAAAATATGGAGAAACACATCAGGAAGCTCTCCTTGAACAGATGGGAACTCCAGACCTGAAGCTCGGCACGCCTATTTAAGGGATGATGATCCCAGTTGATCAATAGTAACATGATGTAACATGTATCTCACATCACAACTGTGATGAATATATATATCTATATATATGTATATATATATATATATCTATATATCTATACGTGTCATACATATATATATATATATCTAAATATCTTTATATGTATCAAGATCATATTATACACACAAATATATATATATATATATATCTATCTATCATGTATTCAAGGTGGCCTAACTATGAGATCCGGAGCTTGCGGCAGGACAGCCGAGGACTTGACGTTGTGCCAACACAAGCTTTCGGAGCTGGAAGAGCGCGCCAGCTGCAACGATGCCGACCTGCAACGAGGTCGCTGCTGGATCCTGCTGCAGGTTTTCATGGGATTTTACGGTGATTCAATGGGAGATGAATGGAATATTTTGTGGGATAATGGAAGGTTTAATGGGATGTTAATGGTATACTGTTGTGATATAAATGGGATTTAATGGAATATGATACAACCGGGATTTAATGGGATTTTAATGGGATATTAATGGTATATTGTTGTGATATAAATGGGATTTAAGGGAATATGATACAACTGGGATTTAATGGGATTTTAATGGGATATTAATGGTATACTGTTGTGATATAAATGGGATTTAAGGGAATATGATACAACCGGGATTTAATGGGATTCTAATGAGATTTCACGGGGTATGAATTGGATATACGCTCTGGCAATCAAATGTCGCTTGGTAAATATCCCATTGAGTTCGATGATTATCCCGCTCAAACCTCCATTTTATTGCTGGAGGGTATTTTGGCCGGGAGTTTCACATCTTTTTTCCTTGGTTCAACCATACCAGGGGGATGATTCCTTGAGATGACGAGCAAATTTTGGATGGGTCAAAACCACCAACGTCGTCTTGGGTGGTTCTCAAGTTCGTTATCCAAGTTGATAAACATAACTCCAATTTCACTAGGGTGTTTGGTAGATATCTGCTTAATTATTCATCACTGTTGTCGTTGCTCATCTCCCGGATTGCTGTTGGTCCAAGACAACTCCGTGATTTCCCAACCAAACCATCAGTGGGGCATGCTATCAGCACCCTGCTATCAGCATGATCCGCAGCTAAGCAACTGACGAGTTGTTTTTTGGCCAAACCATCATAAATAGGGAGCCAAGGACCAAAGCACAGAGATTCAATCCCAAAATTGGTTTAAATCCGACAGGAACCCCTCAATCATTGTGATACTAACCCCCATAGTTTCCAATTTCATATAGTAAAAAACCATGTAAAAACCTAATTTTCTTGCTGAGGTTCTCGTTTTATCAGCAACCCATTGTTTTTAAACCAACAGAAGCCGTGATTCCAGCGGCGCGAGGCTTGAGCACGATCCAATCCTCAGACGGACGAATTGCTGAAGCAATGAAGGCCTTAACAAAAAGTTTTTTTTTGACACATAGAGAACTGGAACATCAATGAAGATCCAGCATTTCTTGATAGGTACCCTCTGGTAAACGTTTACATAACTAATTATGGACAATTACCATGTTTAATAGGTACAGTAAATCAACTGTAAATGGGATTTGGAACATGAATATACATGAATTTTATTTTCCCCATTTTCGTTGGGATGATGATCCAATCCGACTTTCATATTTTTCAGGGGGGTTGAAACCACCAACCAGGCATTTGTTGATAGGTAAATCAACTGTAAATGGGACATTTGGGAATGGCTACTGCATGTTACATTACTAGAGCGTATCCACAAAAGAATAGGCCTTTCTTAAGGCCCTTCTCTTACAGGGGTACGCTTCAACCATGATCTTTTGGTTTTCAATATTCCAGTTGCATATCCCGCACTACCGCGGATGTTAATCGAACAGTGAATCTAGCTTTGGAATGGATTCAAACATGTTGAAACCAACAACCAACCATTTTATTTGGCATATTTCGGATCTGATTTGGGCATGCCAGGTAATACAGGACAATATCAAACGAGCATTTGAATATGTTGATTTGCACCTAGGTCCTAGATCAAAGTCATGATCTCTTGTTGCTGCAGCTCAAGAAACAACTGGCTACTGTTGGCCACGTTGGCGTTGTTGATCCCGCCAGGTTTTGAGCTTTTTATATGAGCCATGGTCAAAAGTTGGATTGTGTGGGATGGTCATCAATCCATTGTCTTGGGTTTTACATACCTATTATATACAAGGATTCCCATGTATCTTGACCCGATTGCATCTGTGGCGTTATTGCTGATCCCGCTGCATCGGTCACCAGCTGTCAGCACCAGGAGACCCAACAGCTGCGTCAAAGCTTTGAGAAGCAGGTGCTGGACGACCCTGGGTGGCCCCGTATCCCAAGTTGCGGGCCTTATTTCACCATGGTGTGATACCCATAAAAGCAACCTCAAGGATCAATGATTAGATTCAGATTCCAGATGTACTAAGCTGATGCTTATTTCATATTAGGGGTATTGCTTTTATGAGGCGTGCCTCGTTGCCATTTGTTAGATGGCCAGCGGGTCAAAGGTCAAAGGTTCTTCCTAATCCTAACATGCGCCCAATTTTGTCATGCTTTGCGGGGCCCGATGACTTAGCACATTGTGGGGTAGTGTCTGAAACTGACCCGCGAAAAAGTTTGGACATCCAAAATCAAACTCATTTCTTCCACAGACAATGTCGACTGAATGTCTTGAACTGCTTTCATCAATCCATACTCCACCAAATCCCGTGGTTTACCGTGTTTGAAACCCGCATATTTGGGCTAAAACACGACAAAAAAACATTGTGTCTCAACTGTCTTACTGAATTTCCTAGTAACCCAAACAGATGCCGACAATTGTTTTCGGATGGTCGTTCAAAGATGTTTTTCTTCATAATCTCAAACACTGGAAAAGGCGAGCGGAGCCGAGCCCAGGTGGAAGAACTTCGACATTTGGCGACAGAGATGGACTCGCTGAAGGCCATATTTCGATCTTCACTGGTGAAACGCATATGAAGCTACCAAAGTTTTTTCACCCTCTGATAAACTAACAGTTTGCTATGGAAAATCACCGTCTTTAATAGGTAAATCAACTATAAATGGACCATTTTCGATAGCTAATTATGTTAAATTACCAGAGGGTACGTATCAGTAAACCAGTAGTTTGTGGAGCTAATTACTTTAGTGGAGATTCTATGAACAATGACGGGTAATACTATATAATAACTGGCTCCATCTCCATAACTGGTTGCAGATTAGTGGAGAAACTATGAACTTTATGACACTAGTATATAAATGGTGGTAAAAACCATCAATTTATATGAAGCTAATAAATGGCTTAACTTAATGCATATTACATAAATATGATGTTGCAAATATATTACTGTACACTAATGCAGTAACTACATGTTAGTGGCCGTACTAGAATAGTAATATCACTTATATGTAGTTGGGTTTATGTATATACGTTGTTTATATCATTATATATCATTGTATCTATGTATGTGATTTTCATGTGATGCACCTAATAATGTATACATTTATATGCCTTGGTGTTTTCAATGATGTATGTTTCAATTTTAGTATGGATCAATACCTATTATGCCATGTATTTCATGAGTCATGAATTCCCAGCTCTTCCCAGCTATAGCAGGTGCAAATTACTTTACTTCGTGTGATCCCCACCATGACATTTATACATTTTCTTACTGGCAAATCTTCTGGCATTCTATCTGACATATTTTCTGGCATTCGATCTGGCATTCTATCTGGCATATCTTCTGGCATTCTACCTGGCATATCTTCTGGCAGATGTTCTGGCATATCTTCTGGCATATCTTCTGGCATATGTTCTGGCAAACCTTCTGGCATTCCATCTCGCATTCTATCTGGCATATCTTCTGGCATATTATCTGGCAAATCTTCTGGCATTCCATCTGGCATTCTATCTAGCATATCTTCTGGCATATTATCTGGCAAATCTGCTGGCATTCTATCTGGCAAACATTCTGGCACTTTAGCTGGCATATCTTCTGGCATTCTAGCTGACATTCTATCTGGCATTCTATCTGGCATACCTTCTGGCATTCTATCTGGCATATCTTCTAACATTCTATCTGGCATATCTTCTGGCACTCTATGTGGCATATCTTTTGGCGTGGATACTCGCGGTTGAGGTCCGGCAGGTAACACTGGGCGTGGATGGTCGTGGTTGAGGTCCGGCAGGGAACACTGGGCGTGGATGGTCGTGGTTGAGGTCCGGCAGGGAACACTGGGCGTGGATGGTCGTGGTTGAGGTCCGGCAGGGAACACTGGGCGTGGATGGTCGTGGTTGAGGTCCGGCAGGGAACACTGGGCGTGGATGGTCGTGGTGGAGGTCCGGCAGGGAACACTGGGCGTGGATGGTCGTGGTTGAGGTCCGACAGCGAACACTGTGGATCGCGAGTCGCAGTTGAGCAGGAGGACGAGGAGGACAACGAGAGGAGGAGGACAACGAGAGGAGGAGGAGAGGAGGAGGAGGCAGGAGAAGGAGGCAGGAGGAGGAGGACCAGGCAACTTAGATAAAATCTAACAACCCTCACCTGGCAGGTGGGGAAAAAATCACCCCTTTATTTATGTCGTTTTTGGTTCAACGGGTCCCCATCCCGACCAGGAATCGAACATGGCGATGGCATGGAAATCCCTTGGGTCACTGGGTAGTTCCCACTGCTTGTTTTGTCCGACCAGGAGATGCCCTCTTTTTACGAAAGAAAATCATTCCTGATCCTCCAAATCCTCCAAAATATTGTGGTGTCCTTTAGGTCTGGATGAAGCAATTCTCTAAGCCATGGGCTGAGAATGATGGAACTTCAATCAGGTGATTTCAAAAAATATTTCTTTGACATTTTTTGGAAGGCAGGAACAAATCCAGTTTGAGGGATTCAACATGTTAATCAACTGGATTGATTGGCCATTGATCAGCCTTGGGATTCAAACATCGATTGCATATGATACAGTATATAATAATGTAGCATAATGTAGCAATGTAACATGATACCATGTAGGCATGTAATGATACATGGGGACACTAAAATGCACATAATATACAAGTATACGTAGATATATATATGATCATATATATATATATATTTTTTATTATCGTCCAAATCTATGTGCCAAATGATGCCACTGCCCGTCAATCTCACATCGAAGCCAGGCTCAGCCTGAGCTGGAGGCCCAACTGGCTGTTCGTTGCTGGTCCATTCTGCTGGCGAACTGTGAGAACTTCGTTGACTGCAACAGTGTTCAACAGCCAAACCACGCATTCATAGCATGATGTCAGAGGAAGTTTTACCACTTTCAGATGTATTCCAGGCTACTCAGAAAGAGCTGAACAGCTTGCAGATGCTAATTGGCCAACATGATGAGCGACTTAGCACCCTTCAAGGAGAGTCTGCACAGCATCAGCAGGACGTTCTCGGGAGTCATTAGTGCTGTGTGGCTTGTGTGTGCGTGTGGTTGATGTTGGTTGCCGCCTTATTATATATGGGGAGCTGCTGAACAGAGTTTTGCACTTTTTTGGTTCGGCTTCTCAACATTGCTTGCCATTGAATGACATGAGTGTTCTCATGTTGCTCTGTTCCCATCATTTTGTTTCAACCGATATCATTGTGTACAATTCAGTTTGAAGACTCTAAACCATGCCAAACCATGCCACACAATGTTAAACCAAAAATAAAGCCTTTACAAATCTCTATCATAGTTGCAATTTTGCTGGGCATTCCTTGTCATGCCATAACATGTTGTGACCATTGTTCGGCATAGGCATGCCGGTGTGGCAGGACGCTCAACGTGAGCTCAGCAACTTGAAGCAACTGATGGACCAGCATGATGAGCGGCTGAGCACCCTGCGAGAAGAGTCTGCTCAATATCAGGAGGACCTTTCTGGGAGTCGTTGCTTTGCGGCTTGTGTTTTCCATCAATTCAGCCAAGCCAAGAACCAATATTGTTTGGACACCACTCTTCTTTGCCAAGCCCATGTTTCACATCCGACTCTGCAACGCAATGACAGAAGATACAGTAATACCAAATCAACAAGTTGCATTTCGTATGAAATCTTTGCTAGGCTTTGAATTTCAATGTCAGATGCTTTCCAGGCCACTCAGAAAGAGCGGAACCGCTTGCAGATGCTGATTGACCAGCATGATGAGCGACTCAGCACCCTCCATGAAGAGCGTGCCGAAGAGAAGGAGGACAATCCTGGGAATTCTTTAGTTGCTGCGCTGTGGCGGTGGTGTTGCTTGTCAAATTCACGTATTATATGCTGCTAGCATTTGCCGAAGTTTCTCTGCTCTCTGTTTCATATTCTTGAGCTTGTGTTTCTCAGATGCATTCCAATGAATGACTCAATGCCAGCTCGCAGCTTACAGCTCAATTTGAAGGACTTAGATAAGGCAGCCGAATTCAGCCCAAAACATCCCAGCCCCCATCCCAAAAAACATCGTTCCATTTTTTATCATTTTTGTTGGACAACATTATATATTGTCATGCAATGCCATGCTGTGACCGCATTGTTCGACCAGATGTGCCACACAGGACGCTCAAAGTGAGCTCAGCAACTTGCAGAAGCTGATGGACCAGCATGATGAGCGGCTGAGCACCCTGCGAGAAGAGTCTGCTCAAAGTCAGGAGGACCTTGTTGGGAGTCGTTGCTTCACAGTCTGTGTTTTTGTCAACTCAGCTAAGAATCAATAGTCTTGTAGGAACCGCTCTTTGCTGCCATGCCCATGTTTCAGTCCACTGCAACATACTGCAACACTTTGCGCAAAGAATCAACAACTTGTTTCTGGTATGAAGCGACTGGCTGGCTTATAGTTCCAGTGTTCAATGATTTCCAGGCCGCTCAGAATGAGCTGAACAGCTTGCAGATGCTAATTGGCCAGCATGATGAGAGACTCAGCACCCTTCAAAAGGAGTCTGTGCAGTATCAGAAGGACGTTCCCGGGAGTCATTAGTGCTTCGTGGTTTGCGTGTGCGTGCGGTTGATGTTGGTTGCCACCACAGAGAGCTGCTGAACTGAATTCCGCAGTCACGTGGTTCGGCTTCTCAACGTTGCTTGCCACTGAATGACAGAATGTGTTCCCATGTCGTTCTTTTCCGCTTGTTGCTTTAAAAATCTTTTGTTTGACGGTTCCCGGATCAGTTCACGAACACTAAGAATAACAATGCCGTGATCTTCCCGGCCTCATCTCTTTGTTATCCTTTGGTGGGCAAATCTGTTGTGGCAGGAGGCTCAAAGCGAGCTCAGCAACTTGCAGAAGCTGATGGACCAGCATGATGAGCGGCTGAGCACCCTGCGAGAAGAGTCTGCTCAAAGTCAGGAGGACCTTGCTGGGAGTCGTTGCTTCACAGTCTGTTTTTTTGTCAACTCAGCTAAGAATCAATAGTCTTGTAGGAGTCGTTCTTTGCTGCCATGCCCATGTTTCACAGTCCACTGCAACATGCTGCAACACTTTGCGCAAAGAATCAGCAACTTGTTTCTGGTATGAAGCGACTGGCTGGCTTATAGTTCCAGTTTTCAATGATTTCCAGGCCGCTCAGAATGAGCTGAACAGCTTGCAGATGCTAATTGGCCAGCATGATGAGAGACTCAGCACCCTTCAAAAGGAGTCTGTGCAGTATCAGAAGGACGTTCCCGGGAGTCATTAGTGCTTCGTGGCTTGCGTGTGCGTGCGGTTGATGTTGGTTGCCACCACAGGGAGCTGCTGAACAGAATTCCGCAGTCACGTGGTTCGGCTTCTCAACGTTGCTTGCCACTGAATGACAGAATGTGTTCCCATGTCGTTCTTTTCCGCTTGTTGCTTTAAAAATCTTTTGTTTGACGGTTCCCGGATCAGTTCACGAACGCTAAGAATAACAATGCCGTGATCTTCCCGGCCTCAAAATATCGTTGCCATCCTTTGGTGGGCAAATCTGTTGTGGCAGGATGCTCAGAGTGAGCTTAACAACTTGCAGAAGCTGATGGACCAGCATGATGAGCGGCTAAGCACCCTGAGAGAAGAGTCTGCTCAATATCACGAGGACCTTGTTGGGAGTTGTTGCTTCATAGACTGTGTTTTTGTCAACTCAGCTGAGAATCAATAGTCTTGTAGGAACCGCTCTTTGCTGCCATGCCCATTTTGTCACTGTTGACTGCAACCCTTTACCCAAAAAAATAGTGAGAGAGTTTCGTGTGATACGAAATCTTTGCTTGGCTTGCAATTTCAGTGTCAGATGCTTTCCAGGCCACTCAGGAAGAGCGGAACAGCTTGCAGACCCTGATTGACCAACATGATGATCGACTCAGCACCCTTCAAGAAGAGTCTGTGCAGTATCAGCAGGACGTTCCCTGCAGTCGTTAGTGCTTTGTGGATGCTTGCAGTTGATGTTGGTTTGCCAGTGAATGACATGTGTTCTATGTTGAATGTGCTCATGTCTTGCTTTTCCAATCATTGTTTCGTCATGTTTCGTCATTTTTTCCAACAAGTTCATTGTTTGTGTGCAATCCAATTTGAGGACGTTAAGCGATGCCAAAACAGTTTTCGCGATCCTTTGTTGGACAAATCTGTCACTCCATGGCATGCTGTGACCACATTGTGTGGCTTTCGAACGTATGTGTGACAGGACGCTCAGAGTGAGCTTAACAACTTGCAGAAGCTGATGGACCAGCATGATGAGCGGCTAAGCACCCTGAGAGAAGAGTCTGCTCAATATCAGGAGGACCTTGTTGGGAGTTGTTGCTTCATAGACTGTGTTTTTGTCAACTCAGCTGAGAATCAATAGTCTTGTAGGAACCGCTCTTTGCTGCCATGCCCATTTTGTCACTGTTGACTGCAACCCTTTACCAAAAAAAATAGTGAGAGAGTTTCGTGTGATACGAAATCTTTGCTTGGCTTGCAATTTCAGTGTCAGATGCTTTCCAGGCCACTCAGAAAGAGCGGAACAGCTTGCAGACCCTGATTGACCAACATGATGATCGACTCAGCACCCTTCAAGAAGAGTCTGTGCAGTATCAGCAGGACGTTCCCTGCAGTCGTTAGTGCTTTGTGGATGCTTGCAGTTGATGTTGGTTTGCCAGTGAATGACATGTGTTCTATGTTGAATGTGCTCATGTCTTGCTTTTCCAATCATTGTTTCATGTTTCGTCATTTTTTCCAACAAGTTCATTGTTTGTGTTCAAAATCCAATTTGAGGACGTTAAGCGATGCCAAAACAGTTTTCGCGATCCTTTGTTGCACAAATCTGTCACTCCATGGCATGCTGTGACCACATTGTGTGGCTTTCGAACGTATGTGTGACAGGACGCTCAGAGTGAGCTTAACAACTTGCAGAAGCTGATGGACCAGCATGATGAGCAGCTAAGCACCCTGCGAGAAGAGTCTGCTCAATATCAGGAGGACCTTGCTGGGAGTCGTTGCTTCACAGTCTGTGTTTTTGTCAACCCAGCTTTGAATCAACAGTCTTGTATGAAACGTGTTTTGTTGCCATGTCCATTTGTCACTGTTGACCCTGCAAGACTTCACAAAACATAGTGAACAACTTACAATTAATACGAAGCGACTGGCTGGCTTACAGTTCCAGTGTTGGATGATGTCCAGGGCACGCAGAAAGAGCTGAACAGCTTGCAGATGCTGATTGGCCAACATGATGAGCGCCTCAGCACCATTCAACAAGACCGTCCTCAAGAGCAGGAGGACACCGACAATTGTTTGCTTGTCGGTGCCCTGTGGGTGCTTTGAAGTCTGCGATTTCGCAGCTTCAGTTTGTGGAATGAACTGTCACAGAGTTAATGGAAGGGAACAGGTTGAGGAGACCTTTATATAAACCTTACGGCAGCAGGAACAGATTGATGTCCACTGCGAATTCCGTTGAATCAATCCGGTGACTCCTAACTTTATGCAATACGTATCGTTCACGTTTTGTTTTTCCCAGCCAGTGAGTCAGCCTTCTATCGCAGCAAATCCGAAATCAAAAAACATCACCCACTAAAAAGGAGATTTCCCATCCCCATGGGAGTTTGGTTTCACTTTCCCACTGTTTCAACTTTCTGACTCCCAATCCTCTTCTCATGGTCTAACTGGGGCCTGGGAGAATGTCCGGGAACTAGGAGAGGCACCAGGAGAAATCGACCTACTCAAAGCGCTTCATGGAACATGAGGAGATGGTCAAGGTGTTGCAGAAGGCCGTGGAGGGCGCCTCTTGTGGATGATTTACTCAGGTTTGTCCTGCAGGAACCTACCTGGGGTAGTTTAAGACCAGTTTCCCACGGCACCCCATGAATTTCAATGATTCAAAGTGCTATGTTTTTTTTTGCTTTTAATGAATTACCTGAGCATTTCAGCCTGGAAGTGATGTGAAAACATGTTAAACACACATAAAACCCATATCCAACGATTTTAACGTTGGTTTTGCAGTTCCCCGTGCTACCAGGCCTCCAATGAACTGGGAACTAGCCAGCGGCAGCAGAAGGAGGCGGGGACCACTCCTTTCGTTCAGAATTCATTTGTTTGGAGGGTAAGATTGGCCAATGGTTATATGAATTTTATGATGGATTTTATGATGGCAGGAAAAGCTGTGGAAAAATATGAAAGGAGCTGATTTTTTGTTTGGACATGTTTTGACAGTTTTGACAGTTTGATCTATTCTGATATCATGAAATGATGTTTGAATATGATTGACTTTTTTTGTTGGGGGCAGGTTTAGTGAGCAGTATTGATGATAAGTTATCGATACTGTACTTATCCAGAACTCATCTATCATGAAACCACGCTTTGGATAATTAACCAGTCTCTTCCTAAAAAACCAGATGTTGCCCAGAGTCCCCTCTGGTAACCATGGCAACGAAAATCCACCATTGAAACATCCCATTCCAATGATCCCCAGTTACATCCCATGGGGATCTCGGTTCCATCAGGAGCTTCTCTCCATGACCACCACGCTGCGTGAGATCTACGGCCTCACCACGGCCTGTCGTTCGGAGTCCATGTCCTTTGATCGGCGCATGGAGAGCGCGCTGAATCGACTGCAGGAGGAGAGATCGGGAGATCGTGGAGACGATCTCCTGGGCATTTTTTTGGGGTATATTTCCTGGATGAACATACAGATATGTAATGATATGTAATATATTATATATAATATATATATAATATATGTAATAGATGTAATTTTATACTTTTGATACTTGGATGTTCAAGCTGAGGAGGGTTACGGTCGATAAATGATGATGTAGATATCACGCGGTTTTAAAAACACATTAAGATGAATGAACGAGTGGGCGAATGGATGGAAAAATGAACAAATATGTCACGTACGCATGTATATGCATGTATATGTGCACACAAATGTTAATGTATATGTGCACATGTCCAACGAAAACGGTGTTAAACGGGGCGGGTGATGTCCAATGGGTATGAGCATCAAAATTGATGACCTGTACCAGACACCTTGCGGTGATGTAAGTCATTTGATGTTCTGAGCATCCTATTTCTATACCACTTGGGATGGATGCGTATTTCCACTTCCCTGATATTTTCGCAGTGGGATGGGATGATTAACATTGATTAACCGTGTCAGTATCAGATGGGGTGCCTCCAAAATGGTGTGTTGTTTCACATGTTGGAGAGTCTCATCAGTTGGGGATAGGCCCATTAAAATCATCCCAAATCCCTTGGTCACCGCAGGGTCCGCAGGGATTGTCATCACAACTCTGCGATCAGAATCAATCAGAATCATGGAATTTGTTGGGCCATCCCATTTGGCAACTAGTTCGTAATAACCTCCCTCCAATATTCAATGATTCAATGCTTTCCTATAGACACCCTGGTTTAGTATCGGTTCTGTTCTTTTTCGCGTCTCACACAACGGGTATTTGATATTAGGGTGATGGCATTACTTAATATTACAATAATGATAATAATGTTTGTCAAATGGAAGGCCGGTTACAATATTCTTATCTAATAAAATTTCGTCGGAATTCGGTAGATAGCCATGGGTTTTGAACCAAAGGAGCTAATCGCGGGTAGATCTACGCATGGGGAGTTTCTTTGAAACCAAACCCCTTTTTGGGAAAGGCTTAGGATCGGGGGGAGGGGATCATGAATTCTTAATGATGTGTCCGTGAAATCATTGTATACCCAGTCAGTTATGATGGTTACCCTCTGGTTATCTCAAAATAGCTATTGAAAATGGCAATTTATAGTGAGTTTTCCCATTAAAAATGCTGATTTTCCATAGTTATGTTAGTTTACCAGAGGGTAATTACCTTTTCTTTCCCCCAACATTTTCGGAAATTCCATGGATCAATCCATACCAACACCTGCCACATTTTCTGCGTCGTAGGTGTCTCTCCAAGTGATGAAGCAGGAGGAACAGCTGCTGACGACCAGCGGCTCCATGCACGCCATGCTGACGGCGCGCTGGGCCTGGGGAATGGGAAGATGTTCAGCCAGGAAATCTTGATATTACATACATTTATATACTATTAAACTATCTATCTATCTATCTATCTATCTAATCTAATCTTATCTAATCTTATCTAATCTTATCTAATCTTATCTAATCTTATCTAATCTTATCTAATCTTATCTAATCTTATCTAATCTTATCTAAGCTTATCTAATCTTATCTAATCTTATCTAATCTTATCTAATCTTATCTATCTATCTATCTATCTATCTATCTAATCTATCTAATCTATCTAATCTATCTAATCTATCTATCTATCTATCTATCTATCTATCCATCCATCCATCTATATATATATATATCATTTTTGATGTCAATCACAAACAGATTCATCAAGTATCATGAAAAGTCAGCGCTGGATGACTTAGAAGAGACATGTTCCTCTTCATTACCGCAGCGGTTGGCAGTCCGTGGTGCCCCAAGGACTTGCAGAGCTGCAAAGATGGTGTGGCCAGAAGCAGCATGCGACTGGATCATCATCAGGAGCTGCCTTGGTGACCGTTGGTGACCGTTGGTGATGCCAAACCATTGAACCATCGAAAATTCATGAAAATTCCTGATACCAAAATTCCAGATACCAAAATTCCAGATACCTAATATTTTCATATATTTTCCGGGTTATAATGGGATGTATCATGGTTTTGGAAAATCTCAATGTTGTTCATAGAAAAGCAAAACATTGATTTTCCCAAACCATGATGAGCCATCCCATTGGTGGCATATAACTCATGGCATCTTCCAGAGCCATCCCAGGAAGCTCTGGACCATCTGAATAATCGCCGATGTGCCTTGGAATATCTTGGAATCCTGCCTGGTCACCTGCTGGGCATCCCATCCATGAAACATCCCCTCTAAAGAAAGGGTCCCAATTATGTGGAAAGCCCCCAGGGTCCCAGGCCATGGTTTCCAAAAATGCTTTCTAAAGAAGTGCAAAAAATATTCGGGGGATGGGATTATTCGAATTTTACACGGCATAGTCTTAGTGGTTTTGAATGTGTATGCATTATGTTCACCCTTCCCTTTCTAGGTTCCAAGATGTTCCAAACGATAAGTTACACTTTGTGTCCTGAGAAACGCTGAGACTGATTTTTTTGTGCTGAAGAAATGATGGACCGCATCAGCTGACTGAGAGCGGCACCTTTGCACTTTCAACTATATGGTTGAAGATGTTTTCATGATTTCCCATTGCTTCAACGCATCAAGTTGGAGATCAAAATTTGCCAGATGGTCCGAGTAAGTCAAATGACATGCATGTACTTGTGGACTTTTGGGATTGCTACTATGATATTCCCTCGCCAGAGATCACGTTACAATTACCTACCCTAAACAGCCAGCTTTCATTGAAATGGCATGGCTTCCCCACAATGTGGAGCTTTCAGATGGCTTTTCTCTTGGTTTTCTGTGCATGTAACCGATGCCTAAAAGCCATCCATTCGCCCCAAAAATGGTCCAACCAGCTGCCTGTGAGGTGCTATGGAGACGCGTGTGGGCTCCGTGGAGGAAGAGGTCCTCCGCAAGTTTCAGGTCACCGACCGCGAGGCCGGAAGCGTCATGGCTTGGGACTGGCCAACAGGGTGGACTGATTTCACCATCAAAGGTGGGAATTTTATCCATGAAAAAGTGGATTTAAGCTGATTTGGGGATGGGTCAATACCTATAGAATCCTATAGATACATTTTTAGTGGGATGAACATCCATTTACCAGCTATTTTGTGGTTCACTAGGTACCAGGGTTTTGACCCATCCCCATTTAACCATCTTGGAATTTAACCATGAAGGGGATTGAACCATCAATCAATGGACTGGTAAAGGGAAACACTATTCGGAAAGCAGTGTGTTTTTACCCCCGCAGTGATGGGCGTTTCCTGATTCTTGTTGCCTTAAGTCAATTTGGGATTGATGGGCAACGGTTTGACCAGGTTGGACCATGTTAGAGCATGTTAGAGCAAGGAGTGCAAGGTGGTAGAGATTGGCAGAGCGCTTCCCAGAAAGGTCTTACGATGTTAGACCATGTCAAGCCATGTCAAGCCATGTAGGACAGTGTTAGACCATGTTAGACCACGTTGAACTATGTTGAACCATGTTGGAGCCCCTAGATTGAACATGGAACCCATCAGTCCGGCCAGGCGTAAAATCATGTTTGGGATACCGCTTTTTCTTGTCCATTTCCATGACGATTTTTGGAGGGTGTAGGTTCATGGGTTACGCAACTTGTCGCTATTTTCTGGCTACAAAAGAGGTGAACATGCAGATAGTAACAGCAATACCCAGCAATCATGGGATAAATATTTCAATTTTCAGCTACTGTAGTATGGACAATTTGTGTAATATGCATGGGGTAGGATAATGACTAAAGACCAGCTCAGATATGCTTGAATGAAAGTTGCCATACGGAAGGTGTTAGTTTCAACCACTTGTGCAACAGCCGCTGAATTGCAATAGCCAATGGTATGCAAGACAGAAACCTCGATTTCTTACATGCATCATTTTCTTACCGGCAGATCTACAGCAATAGATTAGCATACGTGGATGGATTTTGATCATGGCCGCTATGACCGGTGAATGCCCCCATGAAAGGCAACAACAAAACATTCTACCCACCAAATGACAATTGTTTGAAGCCAATCCTTCACATAAGGGATCATCAGGATACACTGTCTTTATTTTTGAGACCCGTTTACAACATTCACTCTCCATGCCCTTCAAGGCTTAAACAACAATAGCAGGTGGCCAAGAATGAGCGGGAGATTGCAGAAGTCCAAGGCTTTCTTGAAACCCATTCAGTGCCTCAGAAGTTGGATGGAGTGGGAGAAGCTGGAAGTTGCATTTCCACAATTCCTTGGGACCCCCAAATATGGGTATGGATCAATACCTATTAATACCATTTTTAGGGGAATGAACATCCATTTACCAGCTATTTTGATGTTCACCAGGGGTACAAGGTTTTGACACAATGCCATATGGTTTGGCATGGAATGACAACTAGTATCTAGAATCTAGAAGCGCTGAAGAGCAACATCAGCTGCAGCACCATGCTGCATCTTTCCGTCAATGCAAACATGTTTGCCTCTCCATGTGGTAAGTTTCTGTCCAGGCATAGGCATGTTCAGAACTTGACTTTGAATTTGACGGCCTAATAAGCAGTGGTTCTCTCTAGTGCTTAATAATCACCAAAGCCCGGGTTCTCCCGGATGAAAACCTTGCTGTGGTCCGGTGTGGTAGGAGATCACCCATGTTTTCGCAAGGAACAGCTCGAAGACTTCCGGTGCCGCCATGGAATGCAGGTGAAGCTATGTGAACCTGCAAAAGACTCTGGATCCGGCTGGTGTAGATTTCATGTTTGTTTATTTTAAGCTGATGTTCCCACTTTTTTAAACCTTCGTGCAACATAGATCATAGAATCATAGATGTGGAAAATCTACCATTTGCAGATCATTTTTCAAGGGAAAGCATGGATTTTCCACATCTATGTTCCTAGCATAGCTCTTTGATATTCTCCAGTGACCAGTGATATCTCCGGGTTGAAGCCATCGTAGGAGGAACGGCTACGCCATGTGGAAAAGTCCATTGAGGACATCGAGACAAAGGCGGGCTACGACTTTATGATTTCTGATTATTTCTGGTAATCCCACCTGGCTAGATACGGTTATATGTTCAACTATATTTTAGTTATATGGTGCACACATATATATATATATATACATACACATATATATATATGGTTATAAGTTATATGATATGGTCTTATTTTTTGAAATCGACGCCACAATATATGCCGATCAAGTTTTTTGCGTTCCAGGTGTCAGGTGATCGACAGGAGCTGGGCAAACTGTCAGATGAAGTCTTACAGCAAGGAAGGGATCATCGCTGATGGGGTCGAATGGCTGGGAGACGTGAAGATGTCTTGATCACTGGAGTGATCATTTGATAAAAAAACGACCCTAATGGTGGATTTAATACATATATATATATATATTGTATATATGCTGTACATGCACGTGTGTAAAGTTACAGCATATCTTGATCACACATGTTATAATTGGATGTTTGGAAACCTTCGCGCACAGGAAACCATGACTATGACTTCACTAGTATAACTGGCTGGTGGCTACTGTAGACTTCTAGGTCCTTATGGCCTGAAGATTCAGGGAATCCCCAAATTGCCCAACTTTTGATCAGGCAGAATGGTGTTTTTTGGTTTCAAAGGTGGGACTCTTCAACGAAAGTGTGGTTGCTTTTGGCATGTACCCCATCAGGACCCCTGGAATTTTGGGGACAAACCCTATAAGGATTCCAGCAACTGCCAATGGCTACTTGCAACTTGGATATTGCAGGAACTTTGGGAAATTTGTGGCCAGTTCTTCAGCAGTTCAGGGCAGCGGTTCACCTCTGGCCCCAGGACAGCGAATTGAAGTGACTTGCTTGGAAGCAACCGAGCAATCCAAGGTCGGAACGCGGGGCACCAGATTGTGTCATGCCATGTCATTTCAAGTTGACATGGGGCGCCCAAAAATCCGATGTATTTAACTTTAGTTTGGTTTAACTGGGGGCTCATTCTACTTGTTTGAACAACCCAATGTGGGAATGCCACTGTACAAATCAGTATTTGCTTTGTGGCCCCAACCCTATCCTCAAATTATGAAGTCACTAGTTAAGCAGGGGTTGGTAACTGTCCCATTTTGGGTATATTGGACATCACCTTATAATAGCCATTATAGACCATATACCTAATGGTTGGGTGATGTTCAATGGGGACATTTAATGACCCATGTTAAGTACATTTAAGATCATTTAAGTACGATCCGATCAGTCCAAGTAGAATGGAAAACATGGGACTTTTCAGTGAAAATTGCTGTGCCCAAGAATGGATGGCCATGATGGCCCCATAACCATGGTACCCTGCTATTGTACTCCTGGGAGCGGTAAGGGTCAGCTGAGGAAATGGCAGCCTCCCCCGATGAACAGTTTGACCCTGAAAATAGCAACTTTTTGGTGGAAACTGATCTTTCAACCGTTCCAAGCTCCCAAAAATGGCAGGGTTTATTGTTAATTTACTGGATGGTAAATCCTAAATCGCAAAGATCGCGAAATCCTAAGGGGTGCCTAAACAGGCCCTAAACCAAAGCCTGTGTTGCTAGCTCCGCCAGCTCTTTACGGCCTTCATCGATCGCTTGGAAAACCAGGAGGCCTCCCTACAGAGGCGACCCGGGGTTATAGAACCATGTTGGAACAACACTTAAAGGGTGAAATTATTCCATGTGGAATGCAGTGTCTAGATGTTTCTAGTTTCTTTCATGAGTTCCTTCATTACTGTACATAGTGGTATGTTCCAACAAGAACCAACTGGGCGAGGTTCAGTCAGTCGATTAAGGCGCATGTTTTACTGCGGAGCTGCTTTTCATGGCTGCCATTATTTGCCATTTGATTTTGCCGTGGAGGCAACGCTTGACAACCATCATGCTGATATCATGCAGCAACCCAGAGCATATGTATGTATATATATATATACATATATATATATATATACATGCATATAAATGTGTATATATATACAAAGCAAACCTCTTCAACTATATGTGCAGGGCTTTTGAAGATCTGGGGCCTCTAGCTGTTTGTACCACATGTTTTTGCTGGCGGCTGGTTTACCGCACGTGCGTTTTTGTGTTTTTTTTGGCCGATGGGGTGGGTTGGGGTGGGGTGGGCTAATAACGTTCAATGGCACTAGCACACATACTTGATGCTACGCTAGCGACCTCGCCTCTTGCACTTGCACACATACCTGATGCTACGCTGCCGACCTCGTCTCGTGCACTTGCACACATACCTGATGCTACGCTACCGACCTCGTCTCTTGCACTTGCACACATACCTGATGCTACGCTACAGATGGGTTTGTGTGGGGTGGGGTGGGGTGGGCTAATAACGTTCAATGGCACTAGCACACATACTTGATGCTACGCTACCGACCTCGTCTCTTGCACTTGCACACATACCTGATGCTACGCTACCGACCTCGTCTCGTGCACTTGCACACATACCTGATGCTACGCTACCGACCTCGTCTCTTGCACTTGCACACATACCTGATGCTACGCTACAGATGGGTTTGGGGTGGGGTGGGGTGGGCTAATAACGTTCAATGGCACTAGCACACATACTTGATGCTACGCTACCGGTCTCTTCTCTTGCACTTGCACACATACCTGATGCTACGCTACCGACCTCGTCTCGTGCACTTGCACACATACCTGATGCTACGCTACCGACCTCGTCTCTTGCACTTGCACACATACCTGATGCTACGCTACAGATGGGTTTGCGTGGGGTGGGGTGGGCTAATAACGTTCAATGGCACTAGCACACATACTTGATGCTACGCTACCGGTCTCTTCTCTTGCACTTGCACACATACCTGATGCTACGCTACCGACCTCGTCTCGTGCACTTGCACATACCTGATGCTACGCTACCGACCTCGTCTCTTGCACTTGCACACATACCTGATGCTACGCTACAGATGGGTTTGCGTGGGGTGGGGTGGGGTGGGCTAATAACGTTCAATGGCACTAGCACACATACTTGATGCTACGCTACCGGTCTCTTCTCTTGCACTTGCACACATACCTGATGCTACGCTACCGAACTCGTCTCGTGCACTTGCACACATACCAATGGCAATGGCGCTGGGAAAACAGTGCCTGTGCATGCCTGTGCCAATCTGAGCCGTTTGACAGCCGAGACTCTTCGAGCGAACATGCAGTGAAAGTGCTGCGCCAGAAAAAAAAAACGAAAAGTCCGATTTTTTTGTTCTCTCCCTGTGGCGAAACGCAAATCCATCAAAAAACAGGGCATCCTGAAACAGCCTCTTTCTACTCCTGGCGTGCACAAAAGCGTGCAAATACAAGTGAAAAATGATGAAAAAATAAAAACAATGGAATTAGCCACATTTTCTGACCAAACATGATGATGATTGCTTCAAAAGTCCTGCAAATACCAAGAGATGAACATGAAGGTCATCATAAAGACTCTTAAGAAAATGCCAAAACACACGCGCGGTAAACCAGGCGCCGGGATGTTTTTGATTCCAGACGAACATGTGCAACCCAAGATCACTGCCATGTACTCTCAGCCAGCTTTCAGGCTGGAAGGGTCTTGCAACACCATCAAGCGGGAGAGTGACAACTTGCAGGATGCCGCTTTTTCGGGTCTGATATTGTGCACACCTTGAGGTCTGGGTCCACCCAATGCTGCAGGCTTATTCGAACCCACCTGGGGAGAGAGAGAGAGAGAGATGTGGCCTCCGCGTGATTCTCACCAATACATGTAATATGTCATTACCAAACAGCTGTAAAGTGTTGCACCCCACTGTGGGCAAGCATACCATAGCATACCATTGGTGACCGAAAGGACTTCTCTTGAACCACCAGTCATCAGATCCATTTTGCATCATTTTGCTTCAGTTCCTCGTTTGGGCCAGTGAGACCTATCTCAGGATGGATTTGGGTCAACATTCAATCAATTTGATAATTATGCCAGTTATAACTTATAACCCACAACAAAATTTGGATGACTCCGCACAAAATAATCCTCAGCAATACCCTACAACTTGTTTGTTCCCTTGGACATCCGCATCACATCACCGCAGGAACAGCTGGATGCCTTGAAGGATGGAATTCTGTCGGGCCACCAACGCCTCAGAGAGATGGAGGTTCGGTGCGGTTCGGTGGCTGGGGCTGGGGCGTTTCAGGTGCTGTAATCCTTTCCCTCCACCAGCTCCAACATGCTCCAACCACATATGTATATGTGTATTATATATATACACATATTATGAATTATGTATTGCAATATACTTGTTTAATACGGTGTTTATTTATATATATAGATTATAGATTATACATTCGAAGAGATATCAAACCGGAGGTGAGTTTTTTATAGCCACGTCTTTATACAAAAACGCTACCCCCCGTACGGTACAAAAAACGGCCAGTGGCCGCGTGGCCCGACTAAGTCGACTCATTGCCATTTCGCAGCATAGAGAAATCGCCGAATAACTCGCCAAGAGTTTTGATCGATGTTCATTTGGAAATTTCGTAGATCCATTGGATGTTCAAAATATGATGGAACATCTATGTTGGCGAAATCAGCATTTGGACATGAACATTATGTGTTGGATGGAAATGGTACATCCTTTATGGAACATAACGGTTCAACATTTCAGTTGGAACCTAAATTGGAGGTACCTACCATATATAAGGCCTATATAAGGCCTATGTAAGGGAATTCCCATTGAACATTCAACATTCTGTTCGCCATAAAGGTTCATTTTGATGTTCATTTGGACAAATTATCAGAACCTCATGGTAGACCAGCACCGACGAATGATGTTTTTTTTTCTGGCTGAGTTCTGTGACAGCAGGGGGTGTCATAATTTGCATCACTGAGTGGTTCCACTCACGAAACTTCATGTCTCAGGTGTGTCAGTGGATGTTAGTTGGCATTCAGTGCAACTATGCAATTGGGTGTTGGCTGTTTCAACTTTTGTGGATTTGATTGCGGCCTCATTGATGCACCGCATGGACAGTTTCTAACAAAATGAATCAACATGATATATGTTTTTGGTGTATCACCGTACTCTTTACAATCCGTCGGTACGCAATCCGCCAAAATTATAACATATCATAACTATTTATCTTTACCCTCTAATGTTGCATCAACATTTCCTGGAAACATATTTCCGGCTAGTAGGCTCCGAAGCAGTTGAGAATCCATCCGCGGGCGGGCCTTAGGGCCCTGGCCTGCTGGCCTAGTCCAGCCATCAGGAACAGTTGACGGATATATTGAAGGAGATGGAGAGGCGTGGTTCAGCTTGTTGGGCCATTGGGGCGCCTCGGGGTTTGTCCATTGGGTGTACCCCAAATGGTGGATTTTGAAGGGGCAAGGTGGGCCAAAAAGGGGTGGCACACTGAATGTGACTAGCCATGTGTGCTCAACCATGACCAGCTCTCCAATGTTTGATTGTTGCAGTTCCCAAGTTTGGCGCCGGGTCATGCATCCTCAGACATCAGAGGATGGTTCCCGTGACCTTCGGTGGTGAAGGCAACCAAAGTCTGAAGAGATGAGAAAAATGCAATCAGACCTGGTGGCGCACTGAGTGCCGCTGGTGTTTCAAGAGCCTGTATGGCTTTGCCTGGTTTGCCTCCTTTCAAGTGCTAGTGACTGGGGATGACTGGGGCCTCCCTGAACACTTGAGACGACGAAAGGGAGATCAATGGATGAAGATGGGATTAATTCCCAGTATTGATCTACAGTGAAAAAAGAGCCCATTACCCTCTGGTAAATTAACAGTTTGCTATGGAAAATCACCATTTTTTCATAGGTATTTCAACTAGAAATGACCATTTCCAATAGCTACGTTAGTCATTACCACAGGGTAACATGGATCCATGGAATCTGGTGTTCCGGGATGCCCCCAGTTTCAGGAAACGCTCCTGGAAGACACTGGCAAATGGCGAGAGGCGCCCATCCCGGGTGATTTCTTGGGGTGGCTGAATGGCAAATAGGGTGGTTTAATGGTGATTTAATGGGACTTATACCATGGGATTTAAGATGATTTAAGCATATTTAACAACTAGGGACTGAATATGATCAGAATTCAACAAAATCCATATAATTAACCCCATCCCCCATTTACATTGAACATCCCCATGCATTTTGGTCCGAAACATGTGATTTCATCCCCCACATCCACCATGGGTTCTGGGGGTTGCTTCCGCTCATATGAATGGGGGATGCAATTATTCAATTCATTTCAATTCCCATCATATTAAATTCCCAGTTAAATCCCAGTAAGTCCCATTAAACATCCATTAAACCAACCTATTTGCAATGTTCTTTGATGGTGCCTTTATGCTTTGACACCAGGCCATGGATCGAATGGAGGTGGCACTTGAGACCAATGTGAGCAAAGAAGAGCGTCTTGGCTTGGCATCCGGTGCTTAGAAGGAAGCTAAGGTGCTATAATAGGTATATATATTTATATATATATATATTTATATTTATATATATATATATATTACATATATATGTATAAATATATATATATATATTTATATATTTATATATATATATATATTTATATTTATATATATATATTTAAATAAATGTGTATATATATATATTGTGAAACTTCCACAGTTTATTGTCCTGGTGAGCTTGACGGTTGGACCTCAGCTGCCATCTTGGCAGTCCTTGTTTTCCCATGGTCTTACATGTCAGGGAGGTTGTTTACCATTTGCACCTTGGCCGCAACTATTGGTTCACCTCCAGCGGTGGGCAGCGGTGCGGATTGAGCCATTGGTGGGAAAAGCAGCAGAGGCGTTGCTGCTGGTGGCTGCTGTTGAAGCGAGGCTGCTTCGCATTGGTAGCGGAGCCTGCGGGCTGGCGCTGGAGGAGGACTTCCAGAAGGAAAACTTGGTTGAGAAGGGCAAGTACCTGGTGAGGCGACTGGGTAGTGAAAATAAAGGTGGAAGCGTCTTGGGAAGATGCCAGACGGGGCTGAGGGACAGCCTGGTGGAAGTGTGAGTGTGGAAGAAAAGACGAGCAACTTGTGGAGCTTGTTGCCGAGTTTCGACCCTAGCGTCGATAGCGCCAAAGAGTATGCGGACAAGGTGAAGTTTCTATGGGGCATATGCCCTGTGAAGGACAGAAGTATGTTGGCACCAAGGTTGGCTTTGCAGTGCAAAGGGACTGCATGGAGTCAGGTGAGAACCATTGATGCGTCGAAGTTGACAGACCCTGAGACTGGTTACAAGGTACTGTTGAAAGCTTTGGAGACCCGGGAGGATGCCGAGGAACTTCAGACCTTTGACAAATTTGAGAAGGCGTTTTACCGAGTAGTCCAAAAGACAGACGAGTCAGCAATGTCGTTTGTCAACCGAATCAATGTTGCTTTCGAAGAAGTGGGCTCTGAAACAACCGTCCAACAAGTTCGAGCCTTCGTGATGTTGAGACAGAGTGCCTTGACTGTTGAGGACAAGAAGCGTGTGGTCTCTATGGCAGGCAACTATGATCCGTCGGCAGTGGAAAAGGCAATGAGGTCCCTGTCGACCAAAGTGCTTGGGCAGACAGATGCTGGACGCAAGAAGGTGTATCCAGCCAACTTTGTGGAAGAGGAGTTGGATGAAATTCACTTTGCAGCTGAAGAAGAATGTGATGAAGAGCAAGCCTTAGCCATGCTCATCGAGGAAGGTGATGAGACAGCACTTGCCATACAAGAGTTCGAGGATCAGGTGATCCATGTTTGTCAGGATTCACCTGAACTGGCCATGGCGTTCTCCACGTACCAGGGGGCACGACAGAAGCTTCGAGACAAGTTTCGCAGCCGAGGGTTTTGGCCCCTTCGTCATGGAAAAGGGAAAGGCAAGAACAAGTCAAAGAAGGGCAAAGGCCCCAGAAAGTATCAGAGTCTTGCAGAGCGCATAGCAAGCTCTACCTGTCGCGCCTGTGGAGCACGAGGCCACTGGAAGGATGAGTGCCCGCTGAAGGACAAGAATGTGATGCGAACATGATCCTCACGGAAGAGCTCTCAGGGGGTGGTGAACTTCTTGATGAACTTCCTGGCCATGATCTTGCCAATTGGCAGGTGGGGATGTGTTCAAAATTTTGGTTGCCCACGATGGTGCCACCTGAGTACCATGTTGATAATGAAGAATTTAGTTTAATAGGTTCCCATGAAATGATTTTGCATGCGATCAACATTCCCAAAGGGAAGTCATGTTGTGAAAAGAGTTTGAAATATTTTCCCAAACTGAAAGAAATGTTTCGTCGAGCAATTGAGACAAGCTTCAGTGTCACTGGCAGGTCCCCTGAGTCAACTGAGGAAAGTAGGAATGGCAGCTTAGGTGACTCAGGCACTGGGATCATAGATACCGGTGCAAGCAAGTCCGTGATCGGCGAAAAGCGAGTGAGTGCACTTTTGACTACTTTGAAGGCAGAACACCGTGAGATGGTTAAGTGGAAGGAATCTGAAACCGTTTTTAGATTTGGTAACAATGGTGTTTTGAAGAGTGTTGGTGCGCTGTTTGTACCGTTTGGGAAACAATGGATGAAAATTGAAGTGGTTCAAGGAACCACGCCTTTCCTCATTTCAAATGCCTTTCTTCATGCACTTGGCGCAGATGTTCTGGTGAGTAAATCCTGTTTGGAAGTGTCTTCTTGGGGAAAATCCGTGACACTCACCAGAAATGCCAAGGGGCTGTTTATTGTCAAGTTGTCAGATTTGATTGATGCGGCTAGCATGAGAAGTAATTCAGAAAAGTTTGAGGAAGTCATCACTTTGGCAAGTAGTAGAATTGAAAATCGAAGTAGGGAGGTTTACTGCACACACAAGCAGCAGCAGCAGCCAAACACAATGTCAAGTACATCTTTGACGACTGCTACAGCTGCTGTGGCTCAACCTCAAGTTGACCGAGAACCAGATCGGCTTCAAAGTCAGTCCGCTCTTTCTCAAGCTGACAGCCATGACTCTTCCAAGTGCCTCGGGAACGCCATTTCCGGGACTCCAGACAGAGATGCTAGATGCGATGCTGTCCGGAGAAGTGGATGCCTCTCTGGCCTTCGAAGATCGACAACTACCAGAGATCAAAAGTCGTCGCCCTCCAGGTGTGATGACCTTGAAGGAGTGGGGTCAGTTGAAGTTCCCGGAAGGGAAGTGGCGGCACAAGTCCTTCTTTCAGGCATACCAGGAGGACCCAAAGTACGGCAAGTTCATGAAGGAGCACAGGAAACTGGTGTCAGCTTGGACACTGAGTTTTCAGGCTTACGTGGAAGCCATGGACAGGATGCAGGAAGATTGCTCGAAGGCCTTCTACCAGGAGTATGCCAGACAGTGGGCCAAAGCCGAGATGTCCAAGATGTATCCGAAGGCAGAGATCGAGAAGAGTCAAGGACCAGAGTGGGAGCTGTTGACAGGAGGGGTGACATCGCGTCCGATGAGCACGATGTCATCACCAAGTCAGAAGCGCCCCATGGAAGAAGAGCAGTCGCAGATGGCGATCGAGGTGCAGCAGAAAGAGGAGATGATCACTCGCATGGCGATCTTGCAGCGCGAGATGGACAAGATCAAGGCCGACTTGGAGGGAGTCTGAATGAGAGGTCTAGCGTAGAGCAACTCGAGACAGATCAGCAATTGACCAACCAATTGCTCAAAAAGATTGAACTAGCAATGGGAACAATTGAAGCAGAGCTGACCTGTCTTCAAAAGATATGGCCGACGCTGACCGACTCTCAGACTTTCCAGAAGTTTGGAAGTGATCTTCTGGAGATCTATTGTGAAGAACATTCTCAAATCACAGAACAAGCTTGTAAGCTGGGATTGAAGGCCAGAAGATTCACTTTCAGTGATGGAGATCTTTCTACACCAGAAGGTCAAGCTGCGCTTTGGAAAGTTTTGGAGGAAGAGCGACCGAGAGAAGTCTGGATGGCACCAGAATGCAAATATTGGGGCAACTTCAGTCGCAGAAACATGGGCAGGAGCAAAAGCACAGAACAAATGATTTCAGAGGGTCGCAAGAAGCAACGTGTTCATTTGAAGCTTTGTAATGATGTTTATTGGTATCAGATGGATTGTGGTGGTCAATTTCATTTGGAACAACCCCAAGGGTCGGAGTTGATTTATCAACCGGAAGTCTATGATATTTACTGTGGGACCCTGTGTACTGTTTTTGATATGTGTGAAGTTGGAAAACTACTTGCCCCACATGTGATGCGACGAGTGTCTGGAAACAATTTCCTTAGGAAAAGGACGCATGTCTACACTTCCTCAAAGATTTTCCATGATGCATTTGACCACCGATTGTGTCCTGGGCATCATAAGCATGCTCCAATTGCTGGCAAGATCTATCATTTGGGTCGGTGGATTTCTCTCTCGGAATATGCTGCAAGGTACACCCCCGGTTTTGGTAGGAATGTGGCAAGGTATGTTTCCTGTAGGTTTGATGAGAAGCCACTGGTTTTGGATGAGTTGCATGTTTGTGATGTTGATGAAGCTTTTGTTGCCGGAGTTGTCAAAAGAAAAAGAGTGTCCGCTGCAGCAGTTCCAGAGAGCTTAGAAGAGCCGGTTTCAGCAGAAGTGAAGCGTCCAAGGTATCACTGCAAACAGACACCAGCAGGTGACCACCGATGTGCAGCCGGTGAATATTGGGATGGCATTTTTAAGAAAATTGAAACCATGGTTCCACGGGTAGGCAAACGTGTTTTGGATGATGATGGGGTTTTAGCTCAGATTCAGAAGGGGGCCCCAAACTTGAAGGTTCAGAGGGTTGAAGCCTGTAGGGGAACTGAGAGGTTGCGCCTTCCTGGAGCTGATGCGGACCCAGAAACCATCCCATTGAGATTGACCGTGGTCAAAGACCGCATCACGGGTCAGTCAATAGTACTTGGCCCAGCTGAGGAATGGGCTGCTCTGCCAAAAAGGCAGCAAATTCGAAAGGGTCAATCTGCAAAGATGAGCCTCACCATTTTTGGAAGTTTTCCAAAGTCAGGGGAGCTTGAGACAATGGGGTCTGATAAGGAAGCAGGTACTGGGGATGATGGTGAAGATGTTGTTGTGGTAAGTAAAGACCCTCCCAAGAATGTTCCGGTTCATGGACCAGGGTACATGTTGTTGAATGGTGATGAAAAGGCTCAGATTCGGAGGTTGCATCACAACTTAGGCCATCCACATCCACAGAAGTTTGCCTGGTTTTTGAAGGAAAGGCATGCGGAACCTCATTTGGTTCAAGGAGCTCTGGATTATCAGTGCGATAGTTGTGCGGAAACAAAAGCTGGTCCAGACCCCACCCGTCCTGGCACAATTCATGAGAATCTGGGATTCAATCAAGTGATTGGTATGGACACTGCTGTTTGGACTAATAGTGTTGGTAAGAACTTTCAGTTTTCTCATATCATTGATGAAGGGACTTTGTTTCATGTTGGTTCTCATGTTGTCAGTGCGGACACAGATTCTCAAATTCGAGTCTTTGAGAAATGTTGGATGTTATGGGCTGGCACTCCACAAGTTGTGTATGTTGACCATGGCACGGAATATACGGCAGAAGCATGGCAGGACAGAATGCAAAGGCATGACATCCATGTCAAAGTCAGTGCAAGTGAAGCACACTGGCAACTGGGGAGAGTGGAAATTCACGGATCAGTTGCGAAGAAGATGTTGAGTCGCATGGATTTGGAGTCACCAATAAACTCGGTTGGGGAGTTTGAGCAGGCTTTGGTTCATGTGTTCAATGCCAAGAACAGTTTATCCAGAGTGAAGGGATACTCTCCCGAACAAGCTGTCCTTGGAATTGCCAAAAGATTGCCTGGGTCCGTTGTCTCTAGTCAGGGGGTAGGAAGTATAACTCTGGCTGAAGGGACTGGTCCCGAGAGCGAAGCCTTTCGAGCCAGTCTGGAAAGACGCAGCAGTGCACGCAGAGCTTTCATAGAAGCTGATAATTCATCCAGTCTTCGTCGTGCGCTTTTGAGGCGGACTCGGCCAATGCGAGGACCCTTTGAAATAGGAGATCTTGTGTTGTATTGGCGTAGGAGGGGTGCCAATCTACGTAGAGATCGTGGTCGCTGGTATGGGCCAGCGAGTGTTGTTGCAGTCGAAGGGTCCAAGAATGTTTGGTTGAATCATGCTGGAAAGCTAGTGCGCACGAGCCCTGAGCAACTTCGTGCAGCCAGTTTTCGGGAGTGGAAGCAGGCCAAAGAGTTGCTCACAGAGTCTGGCCCAGGGAACTCAGATTTACAGAGAGCCCTCAATGATGGCAGTTTCATTGATGTAGATGGGGAGGATTTTCCTGACTGGGAAGCTGAAACAGAGGGATATGACCCATCAATTGGGGAGCCCGAAGGAGAGTTGTCAGTTCAGCCACCTGGGACACCTAATGGGGAGTTGAGCAATCAGTCTGAACCGCCTCAAGGAGTGGAACAGTCAGAGAATGAACTCCCTGATTACGTGCGTGTGCCGGTTCCAGAAAGTGTCAGTGAGTCCGATGGTGATGCCTCACAGGCGGGCGTCAATCTTGAACCAACGGATGACCTTCTGTTTGGAGATGACATCACCATGTCTGCAGATGATAGGTGTTGCCAGTTCTGGGAGATTGAAATTCCTGTTGAAAACCATGAAGAGCATGCACTGTTTTGCGCTGGATCAGCAGATGAAAGTGTGTTGTTGGTGACTGGAGCAAAGAAGAAACGAGTTGAAGTCCGTTTGAGTGATTTAAGCAGTGCTGACCAACAGCGCATGGCGGTGGCCAAGCACAAAGAAATAGGCGCCTGGCTCAAACATGGAACTGTGAGAAAAGCATCCAAAGGAAAAAATCCTGAGGAAGCAATCATGCGCTGCCGATGGCTGCTCACCTGGAAATCAGCCTCACCTGAGGATCACCCCAAGGATGTGAGTGAGGGTCGTAAGGCAAAGGCCCGGTTGATTGTTGTTGGATACGAGGATCCTGGAGTTGGGGTGGTTCAAAATGATTCACCCACACTCACCAAAGATGGAAGACAGATGGTGGTGCAACAGGTGAGTAGTCATGGTTGGGAACTAGTTTCCTTCGATGTCTCAACTGCCTTTCTTCAAGGCGAAGGAGACGGCCGCTTGCTTGGTTTGTATCCCACCCCAGAGTTAACAGAAGCCCTTGGGTTGGAACCTGGTGATCAGTGTCAATTGGTAGGTAGTGCGTATGGTCGTGTTGATGCTCCTTATTTGTGGTATTGTAAGTTTCGTGACTCGTTGTTGCAAGAAGGTTTTAAACAGTGTCCTTTTGATCCTTGTGTTTTTACTCTTGTTTCTGTTGATGAAAAGGGGAAAGAAAGAGTTCATGGTTCCCTAGGGGTTCATGTCGATGATGGCATTGGGGGTGGGGACAACATGTTTATGGCAGCCTTGGAAAGAGTCAGAAAGCGTTTCAGTTTTGGATCATTTGAAAAAGGGTCCTTTGTCTTCACGGGCATAAGGTTTCAGCAGTGGGATGATGGCAGTGTGGAGTATGATCAGATTGACTATATAGAGAAGATTAGGCCAATTGAAATCCCAAAACAGAGACGTACCAATGCTGAAGCTGCGCTGAGCCCGAGTGAAGTGACGCAGTTGCGAAGTCTTGTTGGAGCTCTGCAATATGCAGCAGTCCATACCCGTCCCGACATTGCGGCCAAAGTTGGAGAGATCCAAAGTAGGGTGGCAAAGGCAACAGTCGATGACATGATTTTTGCAAATCGAGTGTTGCATGGGGCAAAGGTTCACCCTGTGACTTTAATGACATTGCCGATTGCCCCTGAACAAGTGACTTTCTGTGCCTTCTCCGATGCCTCGTTCCTTGCAGGAAAAGAGAAATATGCCCATCAGGGACGTTTGATTTTTGTCACGACTCCAGAGTTGCTGGAGAACAAGAGATCAGTGGTAGCACCAGTAGCTTGGATGAGCAAGAAAATTCAACGGGTGACTAGGAGCACCTTGGGGGCTGAAGCAGTGGCATTGAGTGGGAATGTTGATCGTTTGTTGTGGTTGAGGATTTTGTGGCAGTGGTTGAATAACCCCTCGATTGAATGGCAGTCCCCCGAGAAAGTGTTGCACGAAGCCCGACAAGCTGCTCTTGTGACCGACTGTAAGAGTGCCTATGACCTTCTGACTCGCACGGCCGTTCCACAGTGTGAGGAGCATAGGACCACCATTGAGTGTTTGCTCATCAGAGAAAGATTGCAGGCCAATTGCGTAGTGAGATGGGTTACATCAAATGCTCAGCTTGCAGATTGTTTGACAAAGAGCATGGATGCAAGCGTTTTGCGACAGTGTTTGAAGAGTGGTCGGTATTCTTTGTTTGATGAAAATCGAGTGTGGCAACAGAGATCTGACAAGCGACAGCGTTTGAAATGGGCCAAAGAAGTGACGTCCAAGTCTCCAGAAAATGAGACAGTTTTGAAATGTACAGAAGAAGTCCGGCAGGACACATGGGAACAGGACTCAAGTGGCCAGGTTATCCGCGTACATCATGTCCCAAGATATCAGTTGTTTTCTCCTGTAGGAATTCTGGATTGTCCTGTTGATCTTAGAACCTTGGGGTTGGAGAGAGTAACTCATGGTTGTGATTCGAACGGGCATAGATGGTACAATAAGGATTTTTGGCCTGGCACGAGAGGACATGCAAAGATGTCAAACCTCTGGACAGGTAAGACCATTTTTAAAGTAAGGGGTGTGTGAAACTTCCACAGTTTATTGTCCTGGTGAGCTTGACGGTTGGACCTCAGCTGCCATCTTGGCAGTCCTTGTTTTCCCATGGTCTTACATGTCAGGGAGGTTGTTTACCATTTGCACCTTGGCCGCAACTATTGGTTCACCTCCAGCGGTGGGCAGCGGTGCGGATTGAGCCATTGGTGGGAAAAGCAGCAGAGGCGTTGCTGCTGGTGGCTGCTGTTGAAGCGAGGCTGCTTCGCAATATATATATATAGATATATATATATAGATATATATATATATAATTATATATACATATTATCCCCTCAACTACTTGGGGTCTTGGATGGGTACCCCTTCAGGACTCCTGGATGCAGGGTCTTTTCGATGTTCATACCCAAAGTAGACCCTGTAACATGAGGCATCCAAGACCCTGGGCTATTCAGGTTAACTTTTGGCCCTGTGTTACCGATGTTGCGGCAGGTTTTGCCGGCTTGGAAGTTTGAATTTGTGTTTAGACCCTTGGTATCACATGCACCCAGCTCATCCCAGTTCACCAGGGATATTGAGCCCCCAAATCCCATGATGTAGTATCGCGTTCACTTTTCTCTTGTAACCCTTTGTTGCCGCCGTGATTGCTTGCTTTCCCTCTTCTGCCACATGCGTCAAAATCTTCATGCTTTCTTGCAGGAGGCCAACGTGATGAGCCTACTTTCTTTCTCACTGCCTATTCATGTCTACCTCACGGCTTCTTTGAAATCCAGCCACCAATCATTGAGTTCTATCATCATAGACCGTTCCAAATCTGTTGCAGTGCTCGTTTGCAGAATAGATGAAATGAGGAGGTCTAGAATGGTGTTGCCTGGGGTAGGCAGCCCACAAGCACAAAAAAAAGTCCAATGATATCAAAGTAGACCCAAGCTGCTTGGTAGAAACTTACTTTTTCTAGCACTCTACCTACTCATGTCTACCACTTCTACTTTCCAAATGCATCCACAAACGGCCACAAATTATTCAGCTTTATCATCATAGATTCCAAAAAACTGTTGCATTGCTTCTTTGCAGCATGGATGAAATTGGAAGGTCTAGAATGGTGTTGCCTGGGGTGGGCAGCCCAGAAACACATATTAAGTCTAATGACATCAAAGTAGACCCAAGCTTCTTGGTAGAAACGCAAATGTGTTCAAGCGCTGCTTACTCTTGTCTACCAGTTCCTTTTTCAAGATTCAACCACCAATTATTAAGCCGGATACAATCAGATAGAATGCCAGAAACATTATCAGAACATATGCCGCAGAAAGAATGTCAGAGTATATTCCAGATAGAATGCCAAAAACAGCTCCACGCAAAATGTCAGAAAAATGCCAGGTAGAATTCCAGATGATATGTCAAGACGATGTCAGGGTTTATCGTCATAGACCGATCCAAAAACTGTTGCAGTGCTCGTTTGCAGAATAGATGAAATGAGGAGGTCTAGAATGGTGTTGCCTGGGGTGGGCAGCCCACAAGCACAAAAAAAAGTCCAATGAGATCAAAATAGACCCAAGCTGCTTGGTAGAAACTTACTTTTTCCAGCACTCTACCTACTCATGTCTACCACTTCTTTTTTTCAAAATGCACCATTAAACTTGACCCAGATAAAGCTAGGGGGTATGCCAAAGAGCAAGAGCGGCAGATCTGACAGAGAGAAAGGACGGAAAAAGATTGAGGGTCTGAAGAAGTTTTACTTCATTTTTTTGAATCTTGATGTAGAGTAGACCCTACATGATACTGCGAAACAAACGTGCAAAATGCCGCTGTCTTTTTCCAAGCCCAAAGGGCCTTGATGATATGTGCAATTCAAGTGATGTTCACATGAATGCCATGAAAGTGAAATGCTGTTTCATCTCGATTTGTGCGTTTCATCCTTGCTTCAACTGCCATGCTATGAGGAATGAGTAGGCTCCACAAACTTTTGTACTCCTCCTCTGCCATTTGATGCAAGGCTCACATGGCAGTCCAGAAAAATTTTCATTCCATCTTCACCTTTCCAAACGTGATAGTCAGCCCTGCTGTCTGACCACCCATTCTTCCAGTTGAAAATTCTCAAGTGCCTCCTTGCATGAGGCCATGCATGTCTTGGACATAACGTTGAAACCTTTCAGCCCGCTCATCTGATCCCCTATTGCGATGCCACCTAAACAAGCGTTGGAAAACATTTCTGATCTGTGTAGTCACCTCCATTGTAAGTCCTTCTGGTTCAGGACCTGAAGTGGCCTCGAGCAGCACCATGATTGCTTGTTGGATTTGATTGGCTTCCAACCAGCGCTCTCCTGCAAGTGCTGCATTCTGGTCCATCCTCATGTTTTCCAGCAAGGCGGTAGCACCACCACCAGGGGATTGTTCCACTGTT